AGTCTTTAAACTACTGTCCTGCAAATACCTGCACATTTGTTTAACTTTACAGACAAGTTGTCTTCCTTCATATCAATAGGTGTTTGTAGGATATGGGATTTAAATACCTAAGTATTCTGTGCAATCCTTTACTTTTCCTGATTTTCTGCTTTTTCCATGAGGTAATTCACATCTTTTCCTGTTATTTATACAGAAAAACAAAAAACTGATCTACTTAGTGAATCTATTCACAAGTTTAAAATGAAGAGGAAGCCATCAATAGTAAACACAGCTCAGCAATAAGGCTTCCTAGTTAACCCGTGCACCCTCTGCTGGCTGATGCTCATGAAGGATTAAAAAAAAAAAATAAAAAAATTAAAAAAGCTATATTGACTTAATGTATGCATATATGTACACAGTGTATATGTACACAATGAAAATATATCTATATATGTATCTATATGTACACAGTGAAAATATATCTAAGTCTCCAAATACATCTTTGAATCACTTAAATTATTTTTCAACCTTATGTTCTACAAAATATTGAACACGTAACTAGTATTGTCTAACAATGACAAGATGATTCATGTAAACATAAACCATGTTTTTCCTATTATTAAAGATGCTGAGAACAGAGATAGCTGCAAAATTCACATTACTCTATACTTATATATACTTACACCTTGTTCATCTACATCTCTGCAAGCCTCGGAATGCCCACATGGGCTTTGCTTAGGTGCAACCTGCCCTGATAGCTCTGAAGTCACTGGCAATTGTGCAGAACAGTTTGCAGACCAGACCGTCCTAACCGTCCTAGAGGAGCAACTGCAACCACTCTGTGCTCACCTCGCTTCACCCAAATAGCTGCAAAGCATCTGAAAGTCACAGGAATCGGTGTTTTGTTACAGTATCACACTCAGAGATCCTGAATAACAGACTCGGAAACACACAACAGGTCAGCAACTTCCACATTACCCCATTTGGGCGCCTGCCCTGTCAGGGAAGAGCTCTTCCAGAGTTCGGACGGTTTGCTGGCAAGCAGCTGTTGATGGTGGCGGTGACAACTCCTAGGACACAGCTCTAAAAATATAAAGGTGAAGTGTCACAATTCTCAAGCAGTTGCTGTTGACCCTAGAGTTTCAGACCCTTTAAAGTCCCTGGACACGCCGCAGCCCCAGGGCACCGCACGGCTGCCCCAGGCCCCGCCCGGGGCCGAGCTCTGCAGCGGGAAGAGATTCAATTAAAGGAGGGAAGTTCCCACTTTCATGTTTTTTTTAACTGAACGGCGTCTGACAAAGCTTTCCAGCCCCCGCGTTAGGAGCCCCGCGGGCACAGCGCCCCGCACACCCCGGCCATCGCGCCCCACCAGGGGCCCGGCGCGGGGCGGAGCT